AGAGAGGGCTGAAAGCCCTATGAAGCAGTATATAAGTCTAACTGCTATTGCTATTGCTCCCTTGATCTTGATTGCATCCCTCTGTTAATGCAATTTAGGATTGCATTGGCTTTTTTGGCTCCTATTTAGTGGTTGTTCACTAAGCCTCCAAGATCCCTCTCACAGTTACTGCTGTTAAGCCTGGTTCCACCCAGTCTATATGTGTCCTTTGGGTTTTTCTGGCCAAAATGTAAGACTTTACTTTTCTCTCCCTTGAATTTCATTTTGTTCGATAGGGCCCAGTGTTCAAGTCTGTCAAGACCCATCTGGATCTTGAGCCTATCTTCTAGGGTGCTGGCTATTCCTGCCAGCTTAGTATCATCTGCAAATTCCCTCATCTAAATTGTTTATGAAGATATTGAAGAGTACTGGGTCTAAGACAGAATTCTCTGGTACCTCATTGCCTCCTTCCCTCCATGTAGACTTAGACCCGTTAAGGACTACTCGTTTGTCAGTCAGTTAAAAATCCATCTGATGGTGATGCTACCCATTCCGCTTTTTTCTAGCTTACCAAGAAGTAGCTTGTGGTCTACTTTGTCAAATGCTTTGCTGAAGTCTAAGTATCTTATGTCCACAGTATTTCGCTAGTCTACTAATTTAACACAGGACAGGCAGAGATGGGCCTGGTCTGAGTAGCAACCTCCAATTCAAACAGCCAAAGTGGGACTTACCTGTCTCGGCACTGCAGGTCATTTCTGCCAGGCACCTCTGCCCGGATTTTATACCAGTCCCGCTCTCCGTACTTTGCCACGGCCTTCAGGAGCAACTGGAAGGACAAGGCAAAAGGGAAGGGGGGGCAAATGAATGTATGCTGCTGGCGGAGGAAGAGGGGTGCACCTGGCCTCCTTCAAACAAACTGAGGAAATCAAGAAAAGGCAGTTTGGGCAAAAATACACAGTTGGCTAGCAAAGATAGTAGGGAACCATGCCAATTTTAAAGCTGAACTGTTTTTATTAGGGATGATATCAGAAAAAATTGATAAGGAAAGTATGTGTTTAGTATTACATATCTTAACAGCAGTGAGGATTATCTTCACACAATATTGGAAAGATGAAGAAACACCTCAAGGTGAAGAGATGATTAAGAAGTGACTAGGCTATGCAGAAATGAACAGACTGACGTCGAAAATCAAACAGAAAGAAGACACAGAATATTATCAAACAATGGAACTTACCGTATTTTTCAGACTATAAGATGCACCGGTGTATAAGACGCACTAGGTTTTCAAAGAGGAAAGTCAGGAAAAAAAGTCTCTGTCCTCCCCGGCCACCAGGAGCACTCTGCAGGCTTCAGCAGGGCTCGGGGAAGGCAAAAATGCCCCATTTTTCGCTAAAATGTGGGCATTTTTCCATTCAGTTACCCCAGCCCTCCTGACGCCCGCAAAGTGCTTCGGGGGGTGGGGGAAGGCAAAAATAGCCCCATTTTTCGCTAAAATGTGGGCATTTTTCCATTCAGTTACCCCAGCCCTCCTGACGCCCGCAAAGTGCTTCGGGGGGTGGGGGAAGGCAAAAACAGCCCCATTTTTCGCTAAAATGTGGGCATTTTT